TGGCGGGCGTGCATCACGGCTCCGCCCCTACTCCTGGACAGGGGACTTCTGTAGCATTAGCACTATTATCTGACAACCCAATGGCCGTCAACGGACCTGAAGCATTGACCCTGCAGCCCGCGCACATCCTACAGGAGTCAGGAAACTCGCCGCATGCGCAAGGAATGCGAAGTGATCTCCCGGTCATCACGGTTTCAGCCATCGAGCCCAAGCCAGCCGGTGAGGCCGTCGAGCACCATGCCCAAGAGCTGGCGGGCATTTCGCAGCCTGTGCGGACATCGACAGAATGTCCTCTCACAGCCAGCGTCGATCCGACAGACCAGCCCGGAACATCGGGCTGCGGGGTCACGCGTGACGCACCGGAAAATACTCCCAGTCTGAGCGAAGCAGAAGCGGATATCCTTCCGCAGGCGGAGGAACGTCATCATCCCGGCCGGCAGCGCTTCGGGACGTTCCTTGCCATTCCCGGGCCGCGCGCTCCAGTCAACGGGAAGAAGCGAGTTAGATTTCGACGCCCAGATGCGACCGCAGCCAACAAACCGCAGCCGGCACAGCGTGTCTTCACCCAACGCCACGAAGTGATGACCACGCTGACCATGCTGGTTCATACGCTGGTATTCCTGCTCGCCTTCCTGCCGATAATTCTGCAGACGTGGCTGTTGTACGACCCGCACGCCTGTTACCAGTCGCCGGCAGAGTATGAGCTGCTGGTGGTGCTGCTGGCGCTCTTCGTCTTCATCCACTCGACCGTCAACACGTCGATGCTGCTCCTGTTCAGCAGCGAGTTCCGGGCGGCTCTGGTGCTGCTGCTGCGGGACGTCACTGGACGGGCGGCCTAAACATTCCGCCGCTGCAGGGGTCGGCACGAACGCCCGCCGCGAGGCTGCGCTCCGAACAGCAGACACGATTACGGGGTCTGTCCACAAGCTCGGGGGCCGAGGGGGATGTTCGAGCCGAACGGGGCTGCATTCTTCACCGGGGCAGAGGGAACGAACTTCCCACAGGGCCAGGGCTTGACATGAGCGCCGATCGGAGGGGTGTGATCCAAGAAGCGAAGGCGAATACGGACACCTTCATTTCATATCACGGGCGCAGGGGTGGACAGAACACCCTTCCGGAGCATAGGTCGTCGCCGGCATTCCATCCAGTCGTGTACAGCATGAAGCTGCGTGAACAAATACCTACCACAGAGTGAATCGGTGGGAATACAGTTCAGCAGCAGGCGTCGACGCAAGAGCCCTGAACGCCACTGCCGGAAAAGATAACAGGAGGTTTCTCAGTGAGATCATTATGGAGATCACTGGTTCAGTTCATCAGGCGTACAGTTTCTCTTTTAGTCGGGGTGTTTCCGCCTTCCCGTCTCGGGCTTCGGCTTCCCAAATTTGAGATGAAAATGAGCCAAGTCCGCGGATAAACACATTTGATGGCGTATTTTGGGGGTGGGTGGCGTAATTTTTACTGCCCTGCCCTCCCCCCGAACTTATTTTGTGAGACTATGCCTTTATATCACCCTTCACTGTAATACATATGTCCTAAGTGTAAAAAATGCAGACAAAAATATACGATACAAAACATGTGTCCTGTCGGTGTTGTACAGGCCGGTGTCTCTGATAGTTTTAGCTTGCTTTTGATCATTCTATTAAGTGCGTATTTTGCGGTGTTCTCTTTGTCATTTTGCTTTGGCATCAATGTAGTCGCTTTGATCTAAGCGTTCGCGGGGATGTCAGGCTTTTAGATCGGCTCATCGCATGTTCAGTTGCCTTTTTGGATCGGATGCTGGTTGTCTTTTTGCGAAGTTTGACCATCTATGCTCTGTCAACTCTTTCAATGACGAATGGATGTACCGCCGTAGTAACACATACAAAAACAAGTTTTATGTCATGTGATGGTAGGAATGTTTGTCAAACGGTGTCCCCGGATTGGTTTGATTTTCAAAGGCTTAGTAGTAAGCGTGAAATACCAGTTTGAATTTTGAAAATCATGAGTGTTCGTCCCAGCCTAATAAACAATTTTGCCACAATCTGACGTATGCCACAAATCATACGGCAAGCGTTTTGCAGAATACAAAAAGAGCTGCGCTATTCGAAAGTGCGTCATGTGTTGTGCAGGCTGATAACAAATGGAGAGAGAACATCACCTACTGATAAAGAACAGCACCGCCGCTGGATTCACGAAATGGAGAATGTTTTTGTCGCTACGTGTTTTTGTCGCGAGCCTGAGACATGGATGACCTGATTACGAATTAATGTTTGCGGGACTACCTCACGTGCTGTGATCGTGTAGGTAGTTTAGTTCGGCTTCGTGCAAAAGTTTGCATTTTGAAAGGAACTACTGCCACGTCAGTTATCATCTGACGTGGTAGAAATATCTCCATTCGGTGTACACTATCGGATGCGTTATGAATCGCTGCGCACGCAACTAACAGGGATTGTGTGCTAACAGAAACGACATGGCTTAACATGTTTCATCCCAACCAATACTTCCATTTTGCTGCACATCATTTAGTTTCCTGTTTTGCTTGCAAACCAGAATAGTAACGTATTGAACTGCGTGTTAGGTATCGTTGCATAGATTCCTTAGCACCGCATATTTTTTTTAGCCAGCGCATGGAAATAGGTGTCCTTCCCACGGGAATACCCCACGAAGCCCGTCTATCCCCAGTCCTCCTGGAGACTCCTGCCAGCACTTTGTTCCCTGTCGTGTAAAGCCGCTGACGGCGCCCATCTCCGCCGACGTCATTGGATCCGAATCAGGCCCGCCCAGGGGCCGTGGCGCGGGGGCCCGCGTCGCCACGTGAAACATGAGCGGTCCCGGCGCTGAGTTTGGGCGCTGCTCACACGGACGTCAAACAAACGGGCCGGTTAGTGCCGTGTGTGAGTGAGATAGCGAGCACTAGGTGATCGTGGACCGCTTTATATCAGTCTTTCTGTGACGGGGTAGTTTTGCCACGCTTTGCCGCGCTATGCAAGTTTCGTCACGTTGACGGACAGTTCGTGCCGGCAAATGCTTTCGAATAGAGGGGAGTCAAGGAGATTAACTTTAACAGTGTTCCACATTGTATAGGGGCTTGAGCTGAGATAGCCTTCTTGGACATCATTCGGTGCAGTTCACAGCACTGTCCTTGAAACATAAACTCTTTCAGTTTCCGAGCTTCACGCCCGCGAAGATGTGCAAACGATTTTGGAATGCTATTCCAAGGTCGCCCAGGCATCCATGACACCTTAACACGTCCCGCCATTCCATTGGCTATGCGGTAGTCAAGGCAAGACAAATATCAACGTCAAGCCGTTCATGTCTTGGCGCTCGTGAGGCCGATTCATAGACATAACGGCCTCGGCTCTCAATCAACGTCGTGCGAGATACGATGACGTAACACAGCAATGACGTATTGAGGAGCATATTAACAGAACAGAGAAGTTCTGTTGTCTAAAGCAACCTTTTCCACTTCATAGTGTGCTAATAGTTATGAGCGAGCTATCTGATGATATCTCATGTTTGCTTCGATATTTCCAAGCGTGGAACATTCTCTCTTAGACAAGTGCCTTTTTAATTTTTAGGAAGGAAGAAAGTTCTTAATAGCGCTGACAGAGAAGTGGTGAAAAGTGCAGCGAGAGAAGACAAAAGCACCTAGGTTATTTTGGACGTGAAACAGTCGCATGCGGCGATCGTCTATTCGCTGTGCTCAGAAGTCCGATTTCATTTCCGGCGCAGCGTGCTATCGATGGGCGGTGAGTGTCGAGATAGATGCATGACAAGCATGAGAGCTGACAAACGAAGAAAGATGTTCATCGTATCGTTCGGTACGGTGTCCATCCGCGGAATCTATAGGAGCAAGATGTTCCTGTGATGTATCCGTTCGAACATGTGGGACAGCCAGAAACGCTTATTAAGTGGACTGAGCCTGTTTGTATACAGCAACCATTATGGCGACGTTAAGTATCAGTAAATAAACAAATTGAAAATTATTATAAAAGGGAGCGATGAATGCAAAAATGTGTAACAATGTTATTTTTACTGATGGGAAGACCGAACAACTGTAGGCTTTTTGTACTTGGAAGTGTAAGATCATGCTGCTAGTTCTTAGCCAGATATCGCTTGCGTAGTGCATGTTACACGGTAGTCGGGGA